TAATTGTAGCAGTTCTTAGTACAGGGTTGAGACCCTATGGTAGGTCACCCTCTATTGATATCATCATTGTTCAGATCTTGTTTAGGCAACCATATTTTTTGAGATATTACAGGTATAGCCTGTCATTTGTAGGAGACACAATCTCACAACAGACTTCCATGTTTTCTGGCTCTTAAAACTTTTCTGCCTCCTCTTCTTTGATGTTCTCTAAGCCTAAGGAATAGTAGCTGCATTGTAGATGTATCCATTGTGTCTATGATCCCCTAAATCAATTGATCTCTGCTTATAGCCAATTGTAGGGTTTTTGTTTTTGTTTTGTAACAGTCTCCATTTGCTGTAAAGAGAAGCTTTGATGAGGGGTAAGAACTGCACTTATTTGTGGCTATAATGATAAGTTTTAGAATATGGGTAGGAATTATGTTGGTCTAGTAAAGTGATGGTAATGGTTCTAAACTCCATAACGTCACTAAATCTGGGCATTGGCTAGGTTTCTAGTACGAGGCATGATTTCACTATCATTGAGTGGGCCGTGAACCTAATTAGACAGTTCTTGGTTACCACGAAGATAGGGGCACCAAGGCTCTACCGTTGATGAGATCTTGCCAGATTCTTCATTGACTTAGTTCATAGGAATCATAACTGGGTATGGCTGCTGCTATTTTTTCTTGGGAGCTTACATAGTACTTGCTGGTACTATGAAAGCTAAACCACAGGAAAGGAGACTTTTATGTTTAGATTCAGCTCAAATGTTTCCAGGGGCATGTCTGAAATATGTCTTTACCTCCAATTTCTGAGAGGCTATTTATTTATTTATTTATTTATTTATTACAGCTATTCACTTTGTATCCCAGCTGTAGCCCCCCCCCTTATCCCCTCCCAACTCCCCCCCTCCCTCTTCTTCTCCTATGCCCCTCCCCTAGTCCAGTGATAGGGGAGGTCCTCCTCCCCTTCCATCTGACCCTAGTCTATCAGGTCTCCTCAGGACTGGTCCTGATGAGAGGTTATTTTTTAAAGCTGTGAGAGCTAAAGATTCTTTTACTGCCAGAGGTTGTGGTCATTGTTCCTAAGCAACTGTGTATGGTCCACTTCAAGCATCTTACAGTCACTAGTACAACTATGCCATATCTAGGTTGGAACATATCTACAAAGGATTAACTCAAAATCAGAAGCAAACGAAAGAATTTCGGTGCAAAAGACAGCACATTCTGGAATTCTTTAGGCTTTGTAGCTTCATTAGCAGTCTCTTTGCATGTTTTCTGTCAGCAAAATGATTTATTGTCTAGGGAAGGTCTTAGAGGCTGCATTAAGTCTCAAGTAAATGTGAATTTGATACTATTTCTGTAGAAATAGCAATGGTGTTAAGCTTGTCTTAAAGGGAAATGGTGATCATTTTTAATGTAAGTGGTGATGACATGTGTGCTTGCTTTGTCAGTTTGCTCAGCAGAAAGTGGAAAAAGCCTTGGAAAATATTACTGAAAGTAAAAATAAACTTGCCTATGAAAAGGGGAAACTCCAGGTAGGAGATTTACCTCTACATTTTTGTCTGGTGTTTATAATAGTAATTGTTGGATTAACTATTATTGACTTTTAGAAAATCTCACTGTTATTTACTAACCCCATAGTCTGTGAACCCTGAAAGTTTATTTCTTCCCTATCATCTATGTGACTTCTGTTCATAGACAATAGTAAAATGATGAAGCCACAACCCATTCTGTGACTGTCTAAAGCCATTTCACAGCCATTTTATGCAGGACCATTCTGTTAGAGTATAGAGCCTAGGTGTTCTAGGTTTGATGAATATTTGAAGCATATTCTAAAAAAAAAAAAACAAAAAAAACAAAAAAAAAAAACCTGAAAATTGGCTTTTCAAGGCAACAGAGTTGAATCTGTTGTACTGAATAGTGTGATGACATGTGAGTGAATGCCAAGCTATTGTTGCCTACCAGTTTTGCTCCCATGGTACCCACACGGCAGGAAGCCTGCCGCTGATGTGACTAGGCCTAATATAGACCAACCCTAGTGGAAACACTAAGCTTTCATTTGTGAGTTCTAAGTCTTAGCTACACATTAGAATCAGGTAGGATTAAAAAATAAAACCAGCAGTAGAAAGTGCACATTCCTCTTGAAACCCATTCAATTAGAAAAAGAAGATTGGAGGACCTATAGGAGAGAATGATGCATAATAAGTTAAAAAATTGTTAATGGTAGGATTTAGGGTAGTGAACATGTGCAGATTCATAGATCTTTGAAGTTCTCTGCATGCTTATAATTTTCATAATACATAAGAAAGAGTCCCTATGACTGCAATTCCCACAAAAGCAGTTAAATCAGAATGTAAGTCCTACAAGTAATACTTTGTAAAGCATTCCAGTTGAATCCAGACATGATGAGTACGCCTATAACCCAAGAACTCAAAGGGAAGGGGCGGGAAAATGAAAAGGCCAGCCTGAGCTATATAGAGACTGTCTCTCAACAATAGTGAAAGGTGCTCCCCAGATGACTCGTGTAGCCAGAGATGATGACAGCTGGATTACATGTGGAAAGAAGCCGACTTGGACTTAGGGCTGGGCAGCGGAAATGTTGAGTAATCTCACTATAGGCTTGCCAAACATGCCAACATTCATCCTTCCCTCATATTAAAGTGAGCAGGCAAAATGAGACTCAGAGCTGGAAGGAAATAAAAATGCAATTAATGTAAGTTATGCTTATGGAATGGTCCTGGCTTTGATGTTCAGTGCCTTAAAACAAAACTGGAATAAACATTTTGGCTATTTGGGTTATTTCTAACTCTAAATTTCATTTCAATTTATAAATGAACTAGTACTATGAAATGTCCTATTTTACAATAAATACTGAAAATATCTGAGAAATATAAGGAATGGATATTTGTGTTAAAGTAGAAACAGGGTAAAAGAGGCTTCTTTTAATTCTTTGGGTGTCTCATAATTTATATAGCTATAGGTAGCAATATATATCGCTACATATAGTGGGATATAGTATATATCCCAAATACACACACACACACACACACACACACACACACACACACACACACATTCAGACCGGTTGAGACCATCAAACCAGTATGAGCATCTGAGCATGGCCTCAGTTATTTATGTTCCCAGACTTACTGATAAGCAGATCATAGAGAAATTCTTAGTGCTCATGACAGACCCGAGGAGGCAGGGTTCACTTACTCCTGACCAGTGCTCCTATGTTCTTTCCCATTTTAAGTATCGTAAGAGTCTCTACCGAATGAGAAAGTCAAAAGATAAAGTACCTTAGATGACAGTATGCTGCCACTTTATCATTACTCAGTGGCTGCAATATGGTGAATCCTAAGGATGAAGTAAAAATTATTTTTATCCCATAGAACAGTAATCTTATTTATGAATCCATAGTAATCCTCCTGCCTCTGATTCCTAAGGACTGAGATAACAGATATGTACCACAATGCCTGGCTTTAGGAGGTAATTTTAAAACACAACTCAACATATAAGAATGCTACCTCTTCAACTTTGTTGGTTTTCTTTGAGCGAAACGTAAGGCTGTCACTTTTTATTTTTTTTAGACTGAGTCGTCTAATTGTCCACATTCAAAAAAGGTTCGCTCAAAATTAAGAAATATCTACAGGACAGTCACACTGTTTTATTCATGATTGTATCCAATTGGATTTCTTTAGGCCATGGAAATCAGATGCGCTGTCTCAGCACATTTACACAGCTGTGGCCTGCTTGTAGCAGAATTGTTTGCAACATTAGGAAAATGTCTATTTTTTTTCAAGTTTCAAGGGTTCTGGTTTGTTTTTTTTTTTCTTCTTTTTACAAAATGTATGACATCTTTCTTCCCTTAGAGGTAAGGCTCACTTATTATTTTTCTTTTTTCCTTGTAGACAAAAGTTAGACAGCTAGAAGAACAGCTACACTCTTTCAGTGAAACCAGGCTGCAGAATGAGCATCTACACAAGCTAAACAAGGCTTTAAAGGTCAAACATGCTCAGGTACGACTCGTGTCGCAGAAAGATTGCCATCAGGTGCTGTTGCAGTGTTGCAGGTCTAAGGCATTGCTTGGTGCCTCACCCCTCCATCCTGGAAAGGTGACTACTTTCTCTTGACTCAGCTTAAGCCTCTGCTGCATGTAAGAATCTGCTGAGACATAGAGGAAGTCAGAAAGATGCCCTCAGCACAATGAGAATGCTCAACATGCTTGGTCTACCTGAATGTAACAGTCATTAAACTTTGTTGAATTGGAAGCCACACCTTTCTGAAAAACAAGTGGTTGTTCTCACAACCACTCAGAAGGAACATTGTTATGCAAAACTTTCATGGGTTTCACAAGCTCATAGATTTGGGGGTTTGAGCCTTAACATCTTCTGGCAAATGTGAGGAACCAATATCTTTGGTTTTTTAATTGTAGGCAAACATAGAACTGAGTGCCAACAAGGCACATCTGCAACAGAGAGAAGCTCATCTGAAAGAGGTATGAGTAGTGGCTTACCCAGCAGAGTGCCTGGGGAGGCTCACACCTGTTCTCAGTCACAGCATTTCAGTAAATGGATCAAGTGAAGCAAGCAAAGTGTAGAAGATGCTTAGTAAAGAACTTAGCCCATGAATATTTTCCTGAAAGAAAGCAATTCAGTTAGTGATTACAAATTTAGCACATGTGGAAATTAGATCATTGTAAAAATCCTTAACTGTTAGTATAAACTGAAAACCTTCGTGTCTTCGACTTTTGTGTACATATACCCCCACTAACTATGGAACTGGAATATTTCTTCAAATGGAATGTCCATGGGGTTCTAACCAACTGGCTCTTCTTCTGAGTGTTGAGGTCACAAAGTTGTAAAGAGGCCTCATTAGAGATAGTCTCCTAAGGAAGCTTCTTCACTAGGTCAGTGTGATCTTTTCCTTCTGGAAGGCAACGAATACGCTTTCCATCTTCTTGGGTACTCCTTGAAAACCAAGTCTTAGCTTACTTGATTCTGTTACTCATAACTGGTGATGCCGCCAAGAAGAAGGAAATCTCCAGAGAGGCCCATGTCTTCGAAATCCCTTGAAGGTTCTCGGCTTTATGTCAATCATGTAAAGGAAAGAGCTCCAGCAGTTGCCTTGCCCCATGTTCTTCCAAATGCATCACGTCGAGTGAGTTTCGCACCTACCTTGCCTTCTGTGAAAATGTCCCAGGATTTTGGAGACTCCAGAATCTCTCTAAAGACTCTTTTAAATGCTATTAAAACCATGGAGGGGAGGCTAGAAGGCAAAATAGACATTCTTGCCTCAAGACCCTTACTAAGTGAGGACTGCTCAGAGGTCCTTAATCAGAGTTCGGTAAGTGAAGAGCACACATTGGGTCTTAGGGACATTTCAGATGTGGAGTGCAGTAATAACTAGAAATGCGTGACTTGAGTAACAAGGAAATTTGAGAGTTCACAAATAATGAAAACTGTTTTGTAAATAGTGACAATGAGTTTTGCTGTCACAAAATTTTGTTTGGGTCATAGAAAAGTTGGTTTAATAACAACTGACTTTTCCAAAAGCTTTGATATTTTAAAATTTATGCATAATTATAAAAATTGAATCGAAATGATTGGGTAAAGATTGTTGTTAAAATAGAGATATATTAATCTGAGTAGTCCCAATATATTGAACATTTAGAAATATTTTTGGAGTAAACTTGTGAAAACATCATCCTTTGCTTGATATTTATAGACAATAACTATCATAGCTTATTTTCCGAAGGATATATGTTTATATATTCTCAGAAAATATTTTTGCTGGTAGAAATACATATAATAACAATTAGGGAAATAGAAATAAAACCAGATTGAAATACTACCAAATGTGTATTGGAAACGTTCTGTCTTTGTAGTAGTTTAGGGTTTACACAAATGTCAGGAGCCGCCAGCTTGTACATCTTATGTCTGCGCAGCTTGCTTATGTCAGTTACGCTTAGCAAGGCACTGTAGACAAAGTGAAGAAGGAAAGACACAGGGAGACAACAGGTGAGTGTGTGTCAGGGAATGGCGAGGACTGGAGGAAGCAAACATAAAAGGTGTCAGTGCTGCTGGGACAGCTCTGCGGCCTGCTGATCCAGCACCCGCAGCTGCTCATGTGGGAGCAAATTGCACGGAACCGTTTGCACACATGCGCGTGCACGAATGAGGCCGAAAAGAAACCAGTTGAGCTCTATAACCTGGGTGATGATGATGTGACAGTTCGCCATGCTGAACCGCAGGGCATTCTTTTTGTTACATTCTGGGAGCCTGTAGTTATTTTGAGTTTTAGAAAGAGTAGCATGTAAAATAGTGTGCTAATCTGAAATTATTGTGCAGATCTGTAAAAACTGCCTCCTGCTCACAAAGTTCTAGTGTTTATGCCTTCTGGATTTTAAGTATATATAAGTATATATTAATAAATAACAAATATATATTATACATAAATATAAAATATATTTTAGCATATTGTATAAATATATATAAAGATATAAACGTATTTTATCTTTATAAATTTATGTATTTATATATCTTTATAAAAATATTTATAAATATTCATAGTTATAAATATGTATTTATAAATATATGCATACTCATGAATTTATATATAATGTATTATATATGCATATATATTTATAAATATATAAATATATTTATATTAAAACATTTATACATTATGTTTATTATATTTATATATTAAAATATATTATGTATTATATTAGAATATGTTGTCTATAAATAGGTATTTTTATATAATATATCTATATTTATGTTTATAGATATATATTTATTATATTTTATAACATATAATATGCATTAATGGTATATTGGTTTATTTATTTTGTGGTCGGGGGTACGTTGCCATGATACACATGTGAAGGAATGGGTTCTCTTCTACCATGTGGCAGGTTCCAACTCAGGTCATAAGGCTGGTTGGAAAGTAATTTCCCTTGCGGAGCCAGCTTGCCAGCCCTATCCCCACGCCATGCCTGTGTGGTTGTGTGCACCTGTGTACATGTGTGTGCCAGGTCTTTATATTGTTAATTTATATTTTTGGGAGTTTATACTGCTACTGTTTGCATCATTTTTACCCCTCCCTCTCCTTTCCCAATTCCTTTCATGCCTCCACTACCACTTCCTCCCAAATTCGTGACCTTTTCTTTAATTATCATTATTACACATGCTGATATAAGCACAGCTTGCTGAGTCCATTTACTGTGGCTAGCATGTACATGTGTTAGGGCTGACTGTTTAGGACTGTATAACTTCTCAGAGAAGACTGATGGTCCTTTCTTACCAACCATTAATTGCCTCTGGCTCTTCGTCTAGGAGTGGAGGCTTGTGAGATCCCCTATCCATGTCGGCATGCCAAATGGTGTTGTCACTGTGTAGTTCCTTTTGAGATGACCACATTGTTCAGGCTCAGTGTCACTTAGAAGATGCTGTCCCCACAGCAGATGCTGCTGCTCTTAGAATCTTGCTGCCTCCTCTGCGACATTCTCTGAGTCTTAGGTGTAGGAGTTGTGTTGTGGATCTATCAGTGAGGAGTAGTGCCCCACAGTCAGTTGAGAGGCTTACCGATTACTTTGATTCTGTTTTCCTAGTTGTTTTGATTAGTGCTTCTTCCTTTCTTCCCTGTTCAACTTAGGGTGTTTCTGGCTTGTTGATTTAAACATGGTTGATTCTTTCGTGCTTCATCCTTCTTTCTTTCTTGCCCTTCTTTCCTTTGCTATCATGATTGCAACTGTTCAAGTCCTTTATGTTTAGGGTGCCTTTAAATATTGTTTGTGTTGCTGGCTTGGTAGCCATGAATTGTTTACTTTGATCTTGTCTTGGAATACTTTCATTTCCTTCATTAACTTTAAAATATAGCTTTATTGGATATAGCAGTCTTGGTTGGCAGTTTATACTTTCAAGGCCTGAAATAAATCATTTTATGCTTTCCGGAGTTTTGGGATTTATGTTGAGAGATCTGGTTTTATCCTTATGTGTTTACCTTTGTAAATGAGTTGGTGTTTTGTGTTATAACTTTTCTTATGTTTTGCTTTGTGCTTTTGGCATACTGACTATAATGTGTCATGGGGAAGGTTATTCTCTGGCCAAGTCTATTTGGGCTTGATATTCTTTCGCTAGATTTAACATTTCTGCTGTAATCTTTATTTTTATTATTTGTTTTTAATTTGGGAAAAAAATCTTAGAATACACTTTTTCTTTTTTACTTAAAATTTTCATTTCATACAACATATGTTAATCATGATTTTACCCTTTTCCAACTTTCTCCAGATCCTCCACACCTCTCCAAATCTACTCAACTTTATTCTTTCTCTCTCTCTCTAAGAACATATAAAAAATTAAAATAAACAGTAAGATGAGAAATGTCACAACAAAACTAAATAAAAAAGTCCCCACACACACACATAAAAAAGTACCCCCTACCAAAAAACCAGCATAAAGTGAATCTTGTACTGACCGGCTGCTCGTGGGCATTGGCCCTGCCCTAATATCTTGTTTATATACCCCATGATCCTTTATTGGATCAGCTATAATTTTTTTACTAGATTTTTATATGCTGTTAGCTCTTATTCCAGCTCCTTCCCAGGAGATTCTTACATTTAGTCTCATGATCATGTCCTGAGAGTTCTTGAAAACTGTGGTCATGTTCTCCCTACTGGTGCCTGAATTTAGTGTTTCTTCAGCCTTCCATCACTAATATTCTTTTTTTCTTTTGTTTGTTGTGTTTTACATGGCATGTGATACACTTTTATATGTGTGTGTACATGAGTGGGGATGTGTGCATGCCCACGTATGTTCATGCAGAAGCCAGAGCAGGACATGGGGCTCCTTCCTCTATTCCTCTGCTTTATTCCTGTGGTGCAAGGGCGCTCTCTGAGCCTGAGGCTCTCCCTTTCAGCTGCGGCAGTTGGCTGGGATCTGCTTATTTCCACCCGCTAATTCAGATGCAGATATAGCCATGCCTGACTTTTACACGGATGATGGACATTGAAATTCTGGTTCTCATGATTGCATCACAGATGTTCCTACCTACTCAGTTCTCTTCTCTAGCCCACTAACATCCTTTCAGTTGTTGATTAGATCTACTGTTTATGCTTTCCTCTGTTGTTTTGAGTTTTTCATTGCTAATATTCTGGTTTTTTATTAAAATATCAATTTCCTTGCTGTATTTCTCAACCATGTTGCTGGCATACTAACTTTTTAATATATGTTCTGAATGGATTTCCTTACTTCTTTCATGTTTGTCTTTTTCTTTGAAGTCGTTATCAATTTTTAAAGTAGACTTCCAGATTCTTGGTTTGACATTAAACCATGTCAGTCTCTTTGGATGTGGTAATTTATGGGCCATAGTCTTTGGAGGTGTCTTCCTCCTTTTACATGTTTCTTGTGCTTCTGTGTTACAATTTCTGCATCTTAGATTGAACATCTGCTCCTGTTTCATTTGTGGTTCTTCTTAGTAAACAGCCTATTCTCAATTCCCAGTACTACTCAGAGTAACACTCACGGTAGCAGCAACAGCTGTAAACCAGACGAGATACAGAAATTGAAAACTGATACAAGAGCAGTAAGCGCGGGAATGGCAAAGATAATTTGAGTATACTATAAAGTTAAAAGTTATTTCTGGTCAAGGTAGAAATAGTGAATGAATGGAATAAAGAAGATGGCTCAGCAGTAGAGGCCCTCGCCACACAAGCCTGACATCTGAGTTAACCCCTGGAATCTGTGGTAAGCTGGAAGCAGAGAACTGTCTCAGCAAAGCTGTCCTTTTGACTTCCACATGTGTACTGTGGAACCATATATTAACATTGCATATCTCATCACACACACAACACACAGCAGCAGCAATAGCAACAATAATAGTCTTTAAAAAAACAAACAGTGAAAAATTCCACTGAAATGATTTTTTCGAATAGGGGAATACACATGGCAGAAAAAAGATCAAGTGTTGGAACAGCTTCTTTCTGGGTCCTATAAAATTGTCTGCCAATTATAAAGAAAAGTTAGTAAGTCTGTCTTTCCTACCATTTAGGACAGTGCTGAACCAGGACCAGTCAGACGTCAGAGTTGTCTTTCCTTTACGAATGTCTCTCCCCTGTGTACCAGAGCCTGTGCTGACCACCGTTAGCTTTGAATCTTGTCCCAACAGTTTTTCCTATAACCCACAGTTCCTTAGTTCTCTGGGTGGCTAGCGTTGTCAAAGGAGGAGACCTGAACATGCTATGGAGTGTGGCAAAGCTCTGAGACAGGTCCAAGAGGACCACTCTCTGTGCTTTCAAACCCTCAGGACCACAACCCCCAGCCCAGAGTCTTGTGACCTGTGTCTTCAACAACACAAGGTTGTTCTTGGAATGGGATTTTCTGGCCCTCCCAGGTGTAGTGGATAGGAGTGACTTCAGCTCTTGCTATTCATGTGCCTCTACAGATGAGGCTGGAGTGCAGTTCTCCAGTGGTCTACAAGTAGTCAGGCTATGCACAGTGAACCCCACTACAGACGCATGACTTCAGAAGATGGCATCACCTGTGTACAGCAAGCCCGGGGCTGTGGGACTCTTCATTTATCCTCGAGTGGTGGACTAAGGTCTGGCAATGAAGGGCAGTACTCCCGTTCACTGTAGCCTTCACCACACAAGTGGAGCCTCCTGTTACTTCAGCTCCTCTCCAGGTCCCTTGACTTCTGATTAGACCTTAAATTCAGCTCTGAGGGTAGCACAGTCTTTAATAGTTCCTTCTCTAGATGACCCCTAGCCACTGTACTGTGAAGTTTGGGGAGTTGTTTACAGCTGTAGCTGGTGGTGTTCACCTGGCAGAGCAGGGCTTAAAAATGAGGTGGACTACAATGTCATAAAAGAGCCAACTCTATTCAGAGCATGAGTGCCAGGGACCAGCTCCAGCACACAGGGTGGACCAAGGTGGCCACAGCATCTGCGATGACCAGGCTGGTGTTTCTCTCTATAACTCTTAAACTCTCAGGCTGGTGGCCTTGTTACTCTCTATATACACTTTAACTCTTAATCTTCCAGGCTAGTAGCCTTGCTATTTGGGGCTCTTTCTATATAGAGTTTAATTCTATATGTACAGTTTAACTCCCAGGGGCCGCTGATCACAAGAGCCTCTAAAGGACAAGACAGTGGAGGATCTTAATCAGTCAAGCCAGGTGGCCCCTTTAACTCAGAGGACAAGTGGACGCAGCCCTGACAGTTCCTTGCTGTAAATACAATAGGTTATAAATAGAAAAACTTTAGTTCCTTTTAACTTAATGGCTCAGCAGTGAACAGTGGCTTGCTAGAAGGTAGAGTCCTAATTAAGAAGGCTGATAAAACCCTCCAGACTGCTTCTCACCTACTAAACTTAATAACTTAGAAACATGCAAAAGCGTACAGTTTTGGCAGACAAAGCAGGCAGATAGTTACAGACCTCACACACACACTCAGTAGAAAAAACAAGGGAGCTCCCAAAAACACATTCATCCACGTATATGTAAACAGATATATATATATACAATATATATAGACAAACACATTTTTGGATGAAGTGGGTGGCTTCAAGAACTGTTTAATTGTCTTGGGTTTTTATACTGTCCAATACAAAGGTACTCTATGAATGGAAAAATTACATCATTCAAAATTAGATATATAAAAGGAGTTACAGTAGGACTATTGATTCTAATATCTAACTAGATGTTTTGTTTATTATAAGTTTGAAGCAGTGGTTTTATTTATGTGCTCATTATAAGTTTAAAGCAGTTTTATGTTATTTCAATGTACATTTTGTGTTCAAAGCAAGTTTTTTAAGTCAAGGTTTTTCGAAGAAACAGGTATCTGATTTGTATATCTAACCATTTATTCTTTGTTTTTATATTTATATGGTCTTATCATGGTGTACATCTGGGCTTTATCCTTGGATTAAACCTGGAATGAATGTAAATCAAGTGTTTGACATATGGAGGTTCATAGAGTTTCTAGCAGTTTTCGTTACACTGCAGTAGGGTTTCTAAATTACTTGAATCAAGTCTTTAAAATCATCATCAGGGGTTATGAAATCATCAGTTTGTTTAAACAGTACTATGAAAGTACATCTTCAAAATAATGTGCAGGAAATCTGCCCAACAGAGTGAAGCAATAAGCAATGAGGGTCTCTGCCATGCCAGATATATGAGACAAGCATGGAAAGGCAGGCTAGCAACAATAAGCAGTCTTGAGGCAAAATCTGTAGGGCTGTGCCTACAACAGAGATATACCCATTCGTCAGCCATGCAAAAACAAGTGGGCTGCCTCCAGGAAGCTCACTTGCTTGCTTCTTCTAATCCAGCATGTAGTTGCTCCCAGCACATCAGACAACTTACACTCTGAGGATTAAGAAGAATCACACAGAATAAGGTGCTCAGTCACAAGGACAAGCTGCACGTGGCAAAAACATATTTTTCCATAGAGGCACATGAATAGCAACAGCTAAAGTAAATTCACTCCTATCCACTACACCTGAGAGGGGCATGAAGTCCCATTCAAGAACAATTTTGTGTTGTTGAAGAAACAGGCCACAAGACTCTTTCTTGTCTTGTTTTCTTGGAGTTTTCTCAAAAGCGCTCAGAATTTCCCTTGTGTGACTCCATTCCTGGATGTGTTCTGACAGGGAGTAGCAAAATGGACATTGAGTAAGTACCTCACCAGAGGTCTCAAATGGGTTGGAGGCTTGTCCTATGAAGAGGGGAGCCATTTGTCTCAACAGGGCCTGCCTGCTTACCTTCTGGACAAGGCTTCCAAATCGTCTACCCTCAGCAGGAAGCCAGACCACAGGCGTGTGCCATGTGCTTGCTTCCAGTTGTCAGTGTTCTGTTCCCTGTGCTTCCCCCTGCTGCTTACTCCCTGTGATCCCTCCTCTTCCCATCTTTCTGTCTTCTGACTAGAGCTGTCTTCTGTTGTCCTGACTTTTCTCATTTGCCCAGACTTGCTGGGGCAGCAGCTTATCTCTATCTCAGTCTGGGATTGTTTGCATTTTCAAAACTTTTAACTCCATAGTCCCACTCTTTGTGTGAGTGTTTGAGTTACGTGCTAAGTTTGCCTATGCTTGTTCACTGATTTTGTTGTTAAGAATTTGTAGTCCTTTGTAAAGGGATAAGCAGCTAATGGAGGTGGGTTTTATTTATTCAAGTGGATAAGCATATATAACTATTAATGTTTGTTTTCTAAATTCCTGTGCCTTATTACAGTCACTGATTTGTGGTGTTTTAGAAAGTTATGCATTATTTCTTTTTGTCCTTCCAAGATGAAATCTATTCTTGGGAAGAATGAGGAAGAGCTGGCCCAAGCAGTGAAGTGTCGAGATGCTGCCCTGAAAGAGAGCCAGAAGTTGAAAGGGGACCTGGAGGTTTTGGAGGACAGGGAGAACAAGAAGGCAAGGCGTCCCCTCTAAAAGCCTATCTCTGACAGGGGCATATGAAATCTGACAGGCTGCACTCCCTGACTTCTTTTTCCCATTCATGAAAAGAGCAGCTATGATCAGGGAAGGGTTAAAATAGTTGTAAATTTTCCATAATGATGTGCTGAACTACTACAATTACCATAACAAAATGTTTTCTATTAAAGTCTGTCTGATTTTGGTAGCAATCTAATTTCTTTTTATTCCTTTTGATTTTTGAGACAGGGTCTGACCACATAGCCCTGGCTGGTCTGAAAGTGTCTATCCTGTCTTAGTCCCTTGGCCCGTGGGCTAGGGTTACAGGATTTTGCCCTCCTACCAGGCTCTTCCTCATTTTAATAGTGTGATGTGACCTTGCTGTGATGCTTCTCCTTACCATTGTTCCTCTGTGACTTAGCAGGAGCAGAAGTCCACTCCCAGACAGCTTTGAAAATGTATTGAGACTTTTCATTCACACATTTAAATACATCTATAAAACTTGTAACAATCACACCAGTTCAGCATATCTGTCACCCCAGATGTTTATCATTTGAATACATACCTTACTAGCTACTTATACTAGTATATGTGAAACATTCAACTAATTCTTGGAAGACATGTTATCTTATGATAGTTTAAGAACCATTAGGAGTTTTCTCCTTCCCAGCAGCACCACTACAGGTTAGCCATCCCATGTCCATTCTCCACCAGCTTTCCTAGGCTCAAGCAGCCACAGTTCTACTTCCTTGAGGTCAGGTTTTAGCTTCCACATCTAAATGACCATACACAATAGATATCATTCTGTGCCTGAGTTATTTTGATTCAATCTAATGTCCACCACTTCCACCATGTTGCTACAAATGACAAAATTCTGTTATTCTTATGTCTGAATAATATTCCATTGTACATGTGGGCCATATTTTTATCTCAGACCTCCTCTCTCTATGTAATGTGTTGCTCTATGGATATATGTGGATGCATTGTGGAGGTCAAAGGAAAATTTTCAGGAGTCTGTTTTCACCTTTCATCATATGGGTCTCAGAGAAGGGAACTCAGGTCATCAGGTTTAGTGGACAATGCTTTATGCCCTGAACCATCTTGTTGGCCCATCTCAAACTTCTTGACAGCCAGTGATGTGTTAACTACCTCTTGAAAGAGGGAGGCCTGTGGGCACATCATTCATCAGCAGCACCACTTTCTTCCCCAGTCTTTTATCCTCAGGTGTGTTCTCCTTTTCTGAGCCCATCAGAAGACAGTTAGGGACAATTGCCCAAGATCACCTTTGAACCAAAGACGTTGTTGGCCCAGTATGTTCACATAGTCGCTCACTGTGCTGCGGCAGTGGTCAGGAAGCCACACTGCTCTTCTTTTTCACAAAGAACAATAACTTAGACCAAAATGAAATACGTGTTTCCCTTTTGTGTCTTAAAGTTTGATTTTCCCTCAGGTGGGAAACTTCCAGCGACAATTAGCAGAGGCTAAAGAAGACAACTGCAAAGTTACAATCATGCTGGAAAATGTGCTGGCCTCTCACAGTAAGATGCAGGGAGCTCTGGAGAAAGTCCAGGTAGAGCTCGGGCGAAGGGATTCGGAGATCGCGGGCCTCAAGAAGGAAAGGTACCACATTTGTGTTTCGGCCATGTCGAGGAAGAACATGAAGTCTCTTGAGTACCATTTACTTTGAAAAACTATTCAAATGGTGTTTAAAGAACTAATAGGTTAGGGACTAAACCTGCAGTTAGAAAGCTTTCTGAAAAATCCAAGTTACAAGCTGGGTAAGGTGGCGTACACCTTTAATGCCAGCATTTAGGAGTCAGAGACAGGTGGATCTCTGAGTTTGAGGCCAGCCTGGTCCACATACACAGTTCCAAGACATCCAGGGCGACACAGAGAAATCCTGTCTTGAAAACCTAAGAAAGTTGCCCATGCTAGAGTGGCATGAAGCAAAATGTGTCCTCTGAAGTTCATAGATGTTTGTAGTCTTGCTACTTTCAGCACCATTCAAGCCTAAATTCCAGATTAATCACTATTTTAGGTTAATCAGCCTGAGAATTACTCTTAGCTGTGTTTTATTAGTGAACTTCATGGAATGTTTCAAATTACATAAAATGAAAAACTGAATAATAAATAAAAATTACATTTAATATTTCTTTTGTGCGAAGTAAAAATGTTCTGAGACTGATAGTGCCTCTGGGATAGATCATGTATATTCCCAGATTACATTGCTTCTATGTTATGACAAGTGACTTGTATTTTCTTCATGTATTTATCTTTATTTTGCATATTATAAAAGTGTTATATAGTACTTTAAATTTAGGAAAGGTAAGAGAATAGTAGATAGCATATCATTTACTTGACAAAATACATTTCAAAGTAGCTATTATATTTAGAAGCAAAAACAAAAAACAAAAAAACAAAATCTCAGCAGCAGGCCAACCCTTACCAAACTAGTGAAAGTGTATACTAAAATAAATTGCTGTTCTAGAAGTCAGTCACAACATGGGCTCATAGCCTACTAAGTTATCCATACATGGAACAACTTTTAACTCCTTAGAAGCCTTCCTTCCTCGCTCTGAAAATATAGCTACGACTGTTACCATCACCTCGCTGACGTTTTGTACATGTGTAGCTACTAACAGTGCAGCCCGAGCCGGGAAGGAAAGGTGGCATAGGACTTTGAAGTGTGTCACCATTCCTGTACCCCTCCTTACAGTTGTCTCTTATGCCTCTAACTTTAGGTCTCTAAATCAACAGAGAGTACAGAAGCTTGAAGCAGAAGTGGACCAGTGGCAGGCCAGGATAATGATTGTGGAGGCCCAGCACAGCAGCGAGGTAGAGGCCAGGGTCCTCTGATAGAATCAGTAAGAGACCAATTTAACAACAACACCGACCCGCTCAGTTTATTGTGACATTAGTTTTTAGAAAGTTCCTTTTCATTCAGCTAAGAATCCTGGGCAGTGACATATTTATGAATAGAAAATAGGTAATAAATTGCATATTTTTTTTCTGATTTTTTTTTTTTGTCTCATATTGCCCACATTCTTTTCGTTTACCAATGCACAGGTTATTCCCAGAGTTAAATGCCTTAGCAACCTCAGAGTTTAGTAATCTCAGAGGTAGCTGGCGACCCTATTAGTGGGGCGCTACGCGCCCACAAAGAATGAGCCCACAAATGCAGGTGTGTAACAAACATGGAGAAGCCTTTAATGCTCGTTGATTTGGAGGCCAGAGCACTTGTGCACCATGTCACTTGTGTGGAGGTCAGATGGCAACTCGTGGGACTCATTTTCTCTGTGGGTACAATGATTAAACTCAAGCTGGCAAACTGGGTGGCAGGTGCCTTTCCCTACTGAGCCATCTCAGTAGGCCTTAACTAAGCCTGGTTTGGGGACAATATATAAGAAATAGTTGCCAGTTTTTAATCTACTAGAGAATGAGGCCGGACAGTTGATAAAATCAGTAAGAGACCAATTTAACTGGTAGAACTCTTGAAAATCAAGGTAAAGTAAGCTAGCTCTTTACTCTGGTGCTTTCTGATCTACAGTGGAATTGCCTCCTAAGAATCTCTTAAGCAGTGTGCATTGTAAGTTGATGGTGGTGGTGGGGTGGGGTGGGGTGGTGTGTGTGTGTGTATGTGTGTGTGTGTGTGTGTGTGTGTGTGTATTATTTTACCTATAGTGTTTCTTTTTAGTTCCAACTGATAATTTCAGTGGCATTTAAAAATGTAAGGAGTGAAGACTATTCTCTTGACTGCCCTCGACTCACAAGCTGTCTTCTCCCTTTCAGATGGAGCCACTACAGAAGTCTCTAGATGTAACTAGAGAAGACAACAGGAAGTTGGCCATGAGCCTGGAGCAAGCTCTCCAGACAAATGGCCATCTGCAGTCTAAGCTAGATCACATCCAAGAAAAACTAGAAAACAAGGAACTTGAGCGGCAGAACCTGGAAGCCTACAAGTAAGGACAGTATATTCACAGTGAAACGGGAAGCGCTGCCCTCCCTTGGGGAAAAGGTGGCTTCTTCAGATAAGCCAGGGAAGCCCTTCCTTTTTCTTGAGCTAGTGTGCCTAGCTCAGTCATGGTGAGCAGCAAGGCACAGCTGAGGAGCAGCCAGTACTAGCTGGCTGGGAAAAACCTATATGGGTCTCCTTTTCAGCGCTTCACCCGCTATCAGGCTGGCTCTTTATGTGAAGTTAACCCACTGTAAAGATGACTGCAGGGACACACGATTCTACCAAGCCTAAGCCTTCCTTTTAAAGGATCATTGAGGCATAGAGCACACACTGATAGTTTCAGCACTTAGAAGGCTAAGGCAGGAAGATCATGAGCTTGAGGCCAGCCTAGGCTACATAGTAAGATCCTATCTCAGGAAAACCAAAGTAAGGGCTAAAAGAGATGGCTCAGCAGGTAGAGGCACTTATGTGGGTCTGATGACCTGACTCCAATACCCATTCCTGTAAGGCAGCAGGACTCGTCCTTGACTTGCCCAAGACTTGTCCTCTGACATGGGTACATGGTATGTGCACACATGAACACAAATGCAAATAAAAACTTAAGGAAACCAAAATACATATTTAGGCAAGGAATCCCAGTCTTCTGAGTGGGCTTAACTCATCCAGGAGTAGAACATCTAAGTAGATGATAAGTTATTAATCCTCTTTAGATTTTGCTTATAATTGGTTATATCAAACCAGGAAGGTTTTGTTACAAACAGTATGTCAGTAAATATGATTTAGACACTAATATCAGTCATGGAAGTTTATTTTCAGGGAAACATATATAGAAGCTTGTTCTTGTCACTGATTGTACGTGTCAGTGAAGGATCAGGGCAGAAGCTAAAGCAGAGATGGTACTTTCCGCCTATGAGACCTGTGTGAGTTTTGGCTAAAACGATATGGTGTTTGTGTAGTGGCTGGCAGACTCATAAAAAAACCCTTCAAAGTTAGATATCGTGTTTAAGTTTACCTACTAAGTCATTCTTAGCCCTGAATAGCCTGAAAATTCTTCAGGTACTCTTTGTTTTTCTATTGATTTGTTTGTTTTGTCCTATTTAGGTTGGTTTATTTTATCTTACTTTACAATTATTTTTCTTGTTTATGTTTTTAAATGCCTGTTCATTTTCTAATAAGAGCACAAGAAAGGATGTATATTTGGATGGGCAGGGAAGTAGGAGTCTATGGAAGAAATTGAGGGAAGGAAACCATAATTAGAGTATATTGCATGAAAAAAAATCTATTTTCAATTAAAAAGAATGTAAAGTATAATCCTCTCACTATTGTTAAAACAATTATTGCAGGGTCAATGATAGCGAAAGAATAAGGTGAGGCTCATAGGCCTCCTTGTACCATTTGCTTCAGAATGTGTCTTTACCTACCCCGCATAGCTCCTATTTTCATTAAAGACTAATCCCACCTTATATGACATTTGCCAACCTCTTGATATTATGCAAATTTGTACTAATCTGGGTATGCTCTTAGGAAGAAAGATAATGTATGGGGGATTATGTTTTAGACTTGGTTTTGAGGTGGAATTATGAGATGTAGAAATGCAGGTCTAGTTCTGAAGAGTTCACACCTTACAAAGATGAGAGCTAATTTTCTGAAGTGCATTGTCTTCTCTGGGAAGTACAGGTAGAATGGAGGTCAGAGCATGGCCCAGGAGAAGGAAGAGTCAGACAAGGAGCATCTGCAATTGGTTCACTTCAGGAGCCCTAGAAGATTACACAGAGAAAGGATCTTCTTGATCTGGAAAATTCCTGATCATATAGAAGCAAAACTGGGCTGATGAGGAAAGGCAGGCAGGCAGAGAAAGAATGGAGGCTCAGGGCTCTGGAAGGAGAACACGTTTGGCTGCATTCTCTCCTGGGTCTGTGGAAGAGCTGGACTGTGAGCAGAGACTATAGAGAAGGCCCCACTGAGCCTGGAGAAAAATCAAGAGTAGAAGGCTTGTCGTTGAGTTTGCGATTGGGCAAGTATAGCTCACTGAAACCAGAAAAATGTTTCAGGGACTAATGGTGGACAAACTAGCCCATCTCTTATGTGCAGTTATACCCTCTATTTCTCTAAATGCTCTCCCCACTTTTGGTTGACTCCTTCATACAGACTGGGGTCTGGGTTTAACACCGCTGGCTAGGTTTGCACCCCCTTTTCCTTGGTTCTGAGTTCCTTGGTTATGAGGTTGAGCTGATGACCTCGTTTGTAAACCATATGCCTTTTAGACGGTTCACATTCTCCTGAAAACCTTTCTTGACTCAAGATGATTTTTAAAGCGAATTTATTGTTTCTTTCAAAACAGAGAGCAGATTGCTGAGGAATCCAAAGTAGAAGCAGCATTGCATGCAGAGCGCATTGAAGCTCTGAGAAAGCAGTTTCAAACCGAGAGAGACACTGCGAAGAAAGCAGCGCAGAGGGAAGTTTCTGAAGTACGGGGCTGTTTGAGAAGGGGGAGCACCTCTTTTTTTTAATTTTGATTTTTAATTCATTTTACATCCCGGTCTCCCTGTTTCCCACCCTCCCCACCTCCCATCCTCCCTTGTTTCCCCTGTCACCCCTCCCCTACTCCTCAGAGAAGGGAAGCCCCACCCCACCCCAGCATATCAAGTTCTATCAGGACTGAGAGCATCTTTTTTCCATGTGCCTGGTGAAGCAGTCTCACCGGGGGAAAGTGATTGAAAAGCAGGCAGCAGAATCCATGCTGGAGTCAGCCCCCATTTCTCTTACTAGGTGACCCATATGAGGACTGAGCTGCCCATCAGCTACATCTGTGTAGGAGCCATAGGTCCATTCCATGCCTGGTCCTTGGTTGGTGCTTCAGGCACCCTGGGCTCTAGTTAGTTGGCTCTGTTGGTTTTCTTGTGGAGTTCCTGTCCCCTCTCATCCTGTCCTTTCCCCCACTCTTCCACAAGGCTCCCTGTGCTCCACCCAATGACTGCCTGTGGGTCTCTGCATCTGTTTCCATCAGCTGCTGGGTGGCGCAACTCAGAGGACAGCTATGCTAGGCTCCCGTCTGTAAACATAGCAGAATATAGTTAAGCGTGTCAGGGATTGGCTGTCTCCTGTGGGGTGAATTTCGGGTTGGGCCAGCCATTAGGTGGCCATTCCCTCAGTCTCTGCTTTATTTTTGGTCCTGCACATCTTGTAGGCAGGGTAAATTTGGGGTCAAAGATTTTGTGGGTCGGTTGGTGTTTCCCTCCTTTCACTAGGAGTCCTATCTAGTTAGAGTGTCCTCTTCAGTCTCCATGACCCCTTCCTGTTACTAGGAGTCTCAGCTAGAGTCACCCTCATATCCTGTCAGGAGCCCACCCTGTCTCCAGCTTGTCACGGAGAAGTCCAGCCCAAGGTTCCTCTTCTCTCTACAGGCCCTCTGTCTTCCTGGCCCCGCTCTCCTCAAGTCTGATATTGACCCTCATTTCTCTCTGTGCTGGGGGAGCACCTCTTAAGAGGGTGCCCAGCAGAACTGGTTTAAAATGCCTGCAGTTGTCTTAGCTCTTCTGGCCCCTCTGCTCAGCAAGCCCAATATGCTGTGACCATCTCTGTTTGAACAGCAACGCTGACAGGAAGGCAGTTTCTGATGCAGGCAGAGGGGCGCCTTAAGAAGAACTTTGCTCTCACAGGCATACGACTGCCTTGTGTTAAAGATGTAATCCCTGTCCCCTCCTCCTGTCCATCCTCTGTGTGGAGAGGCACACCAACAGCAGTGGGAGGGCTGGGGATATGGCTTAGTAGGGTGCTTGCCCAGCTGCACAGAACTCTAGCTTCCTTCTCTAGCAGCACACAGTCCAGGCTTTGTGGTATATACAACTGCAACCCCAGCACCCGGGAGGTAGAGACAGCAGAGTCTGAAGTGGAGGGTCCTCAGCTACACATGAGTTCAAGGCTAGACTACATGAGACCTTGTGTTAGCAAACAAAACAAAAAAAATTGCTGTAAAAGATGTGACTCATGCTATGTGAATGAGCCAAATAATCCCTGTGCAGTTGTGATTGCCACTCTGGACACAAGATAAATAGCAAGACATCAAAGAGCTTTTCTTGGCTAACTAGAGGCATTAAAGGAATTCAAAGTAAGAAAAGGTTTGCTTTAGGCTGGTTAAGGCCAACAGCAGGAACAATGAAAGCATAGCTTCGAGTCTTGCAGAGAAGCCAGGCTAGGCTCTCTTATGCAGCCTGGCAAAGCTGAGCTACAAACATGGAAGTGTCAGGGAGAAATAAGTTACCTTAGATGGACCTGTATGTTTCACCATGCCTGGACCTAAGCTCTTTTTTTTCTACCTGAAACTTGCTCTATACCAGGCTGGCCTTGAACTCAGAGCTCTGCTTGCCTCTGTCTCCTGGGATTAAAGGTGTGTCTGTATTCCAGCTGGATCACACAGACCTAGAAAGTCTTTGGATGTGATCTCTTGTAGAGCAGCCATGTTCTGAATTAAAATTCTGAATTAAAATTCAGAACTAATTAATTCAGAATTAAAATTAAAATTCTCTATAATGATACAGTAACAATTATTACAGTACAATTATCACAGTTATTGTGATTACAGTAGAAAGTAGGGGAAAATAGAAAGAAAGTAGATGTAGGTATAGAAAACCATAACATCTTTTGCTAATTGAAAATCAAAGGGCCAACTAAAATGGTTCTATTGAAAAAGAAATAAGTCAAAAGGCTATTTTAATTTTTTGGTTTGGGTTTGTTGAGATGGGGTTTCTCTGGGCAGCCCTGGCTGTCCTGAAACTCTGTAGACCAGGCTGACCTTGAACTCAAAGAGATCTGCTTGCCTTTGCCTCCTGAGTATCAGGATTAAAGGCATGCACCACCATGCCCATCTTTCAAAAGGCTATTTTAATAGAGGAATAAACTAACTGTTGTATCATGAACATAGAAGAGAAAGTGTTAAATTTTTATATGCTTTTATTTGGTTACAGTTTGTTTTTTGTTTTTCTTCTTTTTGGGTATGGTTTTATTTTGTTTTCTTGGTTTTGAGGAGTATTGGTCTTATATTGAGTTTTTGTGTGTTTACTGAGAAAGAGTTTAAAGTTGGATAGGGAGAGAGAGAGGATCTAGGACATGATGGGAGGATAAGAATATCAAAATATATTCAAATTAAATTTTGTTTTAAATAATAAAAATTATTATAAAATAGTAAAAACGCACACAAGACTTGATGGATTTTGTCTTACCAAATTTATTATATAGTAATTGTCATTGACAGATAGAAGTTAACAACTTCAGCTAATGATACTTACAGAAGTTTTCTGAACTGTAAACCACTGTATAAATACATTATAAAGAGCAAGTTCTTTGGAAAACAAAGAGGTGGCCTAAATGTAAAAATATCCATTAGTCAGAGCTTATTGCTCAGAACACAGAAAATTGAAACCTGGATCTGGAGAGATGACTCAACAGTTAAGAATATTTGTTGACAAGGTTCCCTCCCCTCCTTCCAGGGCACTTAACTGCCTGGGAGATACTCCTTCACAAAAATATTTTTGATTCTCTCTTTCTTAATAGTTTCTATGTAGTTAATGGAAGTATATTTATAGCATTTCTTTTTTTAATTTGTTTTGTTTTGTTTTTTGTTTTTTAGAAGTCACAGTTTCAAAAAAACCTTATAATATGACCTCTTTGAACAGAAAAAAAAAAAGCACTCATAGAAAAGGAGGACCCTCAAAACATGGCCATCCTTACCTTATTGCCGAAAATAGAAATTCTTAGGTTAACAAAGAGACGTCACGAAAATGAACTGCTACAGTCTGATCAGCAGCCAACTGGATGTCACTTCTACAACACAAGAGAGAGTCTGTGCCCACTCCCGCTCCACATGTCATAACTTCACTTCAGTGTGTGCTAAACTCCCAGATGAAGATTCTTACAGTCTCAGAATTGATACCAAAAATGGAGAGTAACATTACCATCTCAGCATCGTTTAAAAGCAAGAACAGAATCAAAACAAAACAAAACTGCTTCTTAAAAAAAAAAAAAAGAAAGAAAGCTCCTTACTATGTAACAAGTATACCATGGTTAGCTTTAACTAGATATTAAGCTAGATGACTACTGGACTAAGTAAAAAATCACTACCAAATGTGATCAAGGGAGATTTAAAAGGAGAAGGGAGATGGGGAGGGAAAGGGAGACCACCAAGAGAAACAAACGGAACCAAACCAAACTCATGTAATATAAGCTGTTGTCTTATAGTACAGCAGAGATGAGATGAGATGTAGTCACCCTTCATTCCAAAGTGTGCCACCTCTGGTTGGGATGAGGAGGGAGGCTGGTGGGGGTCCAGGTCTTAGGATACCACCTAAACAAAGGTTCACTCAGAAACTTGGCCCAGTCTTGCCTGGACATCCAGCTATGCTCTCAGAGAGAGATGTCAAGGGCCATGCATGGAGATAACCTAGAACCCCTGCTCTGCTGTAGCCCATAGCAGCTCAGTATCTAAGTGGGTTTTCTAGTAAGGGAACAGGGACTGTCTCTGACATGAACTCAGTGGCTGGCTCTTTGATCACCTCCCCCTGAGGAGTGGAGCAGCCTTGCCAAGCCACAGAGGAAGCCAATGCAGCCAGTCCTGATGAGATCTGATAGACTAGGGTCAGATGGAAGAGGAAGAGGACCTCCCCTATCACTGGACTGGGGGAGGGGGATGGGAGAAAAAGAGGGAGATAGGGTGGGGTTGGGATACAAAGTGAATAAACTTTTAATTAATTATTAAAAAATTAAAAATTAATAAAAAAAAAGAAAAAAAAACATTCATTGATCTTGCAGAGGACCAGGAAGAGGTTCCTGGTGTCCAGATGGTGGCTCACAGCCTCCCTGGAATTCCAGTTTCAGGGGATCCAGTGCCCTCTCTGTTTTTATTGGAAATGAGGCACACTTGTGGTATGCATGCACACAGGCAAAGAAAACACTCATAAACATAAATAAATATAAATTTAAAAACCTAAAGCCTTAGAGGAAGCAGCTTTGATAATGGTGGCTGTGTGAGGAAACCTGGCAACAGAGTGTGCCACTGGTGAGAAGCAGAGGTGTGAGCCCAGAGCCCTGCCGCGTCCCAGCCTTGCCCTGTGTTAGCTATGTATGTGTGTGACTTGGCTTCTGACTCCATTTCCTCTGTCATAAAATCAAGGTCACTTTTTAGATCTGTTTAAATAATTAAATTGGAAAGTATCTGTAATGGGCATACGAACAAACGTGCCTAGTTACTGGTGTTAGTCTGTTTTGAGGTAGCAATGGGAAATCTCACAGCGATTAGGGATGCAGCAGAAGAGTGTGCTGGACCAGAAGGTTAGGGATGCTAGACTGGAAGATTAGGGATGCAGTGGAAGAGTGTGCTGGACCAAAAGGTTAGGGATGCAGTGGAAGCATGTACTGGACCAGAAGTTAGGGATGCAGCAGAAGAATGTAATGGACCAGAAGGTTAGAGATACAGCGGAAGAGTGTGCTGGTCCAGAAGGTTAGGGATACTAGACTGGAAGATTAGGGATGCAGCAGAAGAGTGCACTAGACTGGATGGTCTATCAAAAGAGCTACTTGCTGAGAGCAGGGACAGAGAGCACCCCCAGGCTCTAAGAAGCCTTCCCTCTGCTTGCCCCCCTTCTCAGACACCCCTTTTTAACAAGCTATGTGAATGTAAAGACATTGTGAGGACGAGGACTGTGTAAAAGCATTCGTATTTTTCCAGAAGACAAGATTATTAAAATGCTTTCACAGGAAGCAATACCATAAAATGCATGCACTAATCTAAGGTTTTGGTTTTTGGTTTTTGTTGTTTGTTTGTTTTTCATTTCTTGAGCCATGGTGCTTTGACAGCAAGAAAATATTCCTAGCATGGTAGTAATCACCTAGCAATGATATCATGATGGGGTCTGTTTTCTTTTCTTCACTTGTTTGACTTAGTCTGTCCATCTGTAGGCTATGCACATATTCTCAGTGGATGAACCTGAGGCTCAGGAAGGTAATTACACAACCCTGCATGTAGGTAGGTGGTGAAGCCGAGACTGGAGCTCAGTGTCTCTCCATAGCCATGCTCGTAAAATGCAGCTCGTTACTGCAAGTTCACATTCTTTATATAGTCTTTTTACTCTCAAATGTTAAGACTTAAGAAAATCACTTGATTTGTTGCTACATAATCAGAAATCATGTATTGTATCGGTTTTTTTTATTTATTTCTTATGGGTATGTTTTTGGCCTGTGTGTAGGTCTGTACTCCCTGTGCATACCTAGTCCCCTCAGAGGCCAGAAGAAGGCATCAGACCCTGGAACTTGGGGCTGCAGGTGGTTGTGAGCCACCGTGTGGGTGCTAGAGACTGAATCCAGGACCTCTTGCAAGAGTAGCTGGTGCTCTTAACAGCTGAGCCACCTCTCCAGCCTTTTTAAATGTATGAATGAACTGAAGCTTCTTCTGAATAGTAGGTAAACGGTGTTCCTGTTCTTTTGTCTTCAAAGCTGAAGAAAGCTCTTGATGAAGCCAACTTCAGGTCAGTGGAAGTGTCCCGGGCAAACCGAGAGCTACGACAGAAACTCACGGAGTTGGAAAAAGTATTGAACAGTAACAAGGAGAAACTGAAGAACCAAAGGGCCCAAATAAAACTGCACTTGTCTGCCAAGGCAAATAATGCACAGAATGTGGAGCGGATGAAGGTTGTATGAGAAGCCTCCCCCTCTCCTCTCTACTGCAGGGTGTTGTTGAGAGGGTCAGGGCTGCTGTGATATCTGTGGAGCTGTTTGAGAGCCCCAACAGCTGCACGTGTTCTCTGGGAAGCGGGCAGATTGCTTCTGTAGTATCGTATCTGCTTCTGCTGAGATACTGCAGTGATTCTGGGCATTTTCAGGGTCAGTGGGCTAAGTAGGAAAGAGAACCCGGCAGAAACTGACAGCTTTGATTGCAGCCAACCAGAGCTAGTCTACTGGTCATCTCTTTATAATATTTGTACGTTTACTTTCAGCAAATAGAAACAGAATTAAGGCAAATGGAGATAATTAAGGATCAGTATCAGAAAAAGAACTATGAACAGGTAAAATATTCCCTCAAACTATGTGTTTTGCATTAATGTAAAATTCTAACTTAGGTTCACCATGTTCCCCTCCTTGTTCCTTGTCAGTCATTGAGTATCCAGAGATTTATAACTGAAATGAATGCCCTACAGAAAGAGATGGAGCTGTTAGCTAAGAGCCAGTATGAAACCTCAACTCGAAATAAACAGCAAGAGTTGAGACTAGGGGCTGAGCGGAAAATGAGGCAGGAACTAGAAAATCGGTGCAAGGTAAAGAATTTTTAAATATCCTCTCAATGGTTGTTAGCAAGTGTGTGTGCCAAATCCAGTGAGAAGTTCTCAAGTATGTGTGCCTAAATCCAGTGAGAAGTTCTCAAGTGTGTTTGCCTAAATCCAGTCAAAAGTAGCAAGTATGTGTGCCTAAATCCAGTGAGAAGTTAACAAGTGTGTATGCCTAAATCCAGAAAGAAGGCACTCAGATTTTCCTAGCATCCACAGAAAGAAAAATACATGTACAAAAATGGTCTGTTAGCCATTTCCTCATTGTAGTGACAGAAATACCTGACACAAACATCTTAAAGGAGGATTTGTCAGAGCATCGTTCCATAGATTCCAGTCTGTAGTTCCTGGATCTGTTGATTGTGGACCCCAAATGAGGCAGGACAGCATGAGAATAAGAACATGTACAGAAGGAGGATGTCCATCTCATGGTGAACAGGAAACAGAAGAGGGACTGGGTCTGGGTATATTCTGCAAAAAAACCCTACTAATTACTCAAGTTTCTGCCACCTTCCAAAATAAACCAACTAAAGATTAGGCACCCAGCATATGAGCCTTTTGAAGGACGTTTCATACTGAAATCGTGGTAATTTGGGGTGTAGAAAATAATCTTCATTCTCAGTTTAATAAAAATGATGTTTGCTTTTGCAAAACAGCTAGATCTTATATATGCACTGGATTCCTTAGCCTTCTGGGAGATTTTCAGCTCTTGATTGTTCTCTGCAGAAAGAATGTACTTGTTACTGCCACAGGAATCTTAGCTATTCCTAACAAAAAGTGTAATAACCAAAAACAAATTTCAGGAGATCATTGAGCTCCCATACCTTCCAAAAGCTAAGAAAGGTGCTCTTTAATTCCAAAAAAGAGACATTAAGTTCTTTCGGCAGAATCTAAAAACCAAAACCAAACCCTTTATGTAGACTTTAGATTAAATTGTATTAAAATACAAGTAGTTCAAAAGTGTCCCGTCTTATTTTCATGATCTATCTATATTATAAATTTGAAGAATTTTGGTTCTATATGGTACATTGGAAGTTTTTAAAATCTATCACATTTTCAGGAATTGGAAGAAACTGTCAGACACCTGAAGAAATGTAAAGAAGCGACAGAGAATAAATTAAAAGAAGCCAGTGTGGAGTCAGAACAGGTGAGCTAGACCCAGGCACTTAGGAAATACAGATAGCAACGCTAAAACAGAGTGCTGTGGAGTCTGCCACTGATGTATTTGTTAGGAGTGCAACAGGCAAGGGCCAACAGCTTACTCTCGTTTTATTGTGAAGAATTTTATGTAAGGTCTGTGTTCTGATGCTAGAGAATGAGTGCTAGAATATTACTGAGCTCTGAAGTCCAAATACATACTTCTAAACAGAAGGCGAGTGCAGTAAGGTGTGGAGCTAAGGCTTGACACCCTGTGAGTTCCATGGCCTTGGGTTCTTGGCTAGACTTACAGGAGCAGACATGAGTTTTCCTTATGGAGAACAGGCCTTACATCTAATCAGAAAGTGGTTGTTTATCACGTACCCATGTAGAAGCCTGGGAGCTATGGTAATGGCCAGCTTGGCACAATAAGTCGAAGGTGTCATAGTGGCATGCAGAGAAGATTATTTTACTTCATTTTTTATTTGAAGAAATGGTACAAACTAAAGAACTTAAGCAGGTGTTTTGGTGTGACTTATAGAAAAGATATAGGTAGACCGTCATGCATGCACTGTCCCAGGGACCAGTGAAGTCACATGGCATTGGGGAAGTCAGCATGCAAAGAAGACTCTTACAGTATCATGATAACATTGCTGTCAGTTTTTCATTTGTTCCTGTTATGGCTGTTAATTTACATGACAATATAACCTGCCAACTAGTGTATTAGAAAGAAAACGACTCTTGTCAGCCTCGTTTGAATGCCAACTGTCTGCCCTTAGTAAAGTTACATTTCCTCTCGTTTTTTGAGTGTGTATGCACATGCATATATGTTCATGTGTGGGCACATGTGCATTGAACGTGAGCACGCATGTGAAGGCCAGATGAAAACCTTGGGTATCTTTAGATACTATCCACCCTTTTTTATTTTTTATTTTTATTTTTTGAGACAGGGTCTCTTATTGGACTGGAACTCACCAACTAGACTAGGCCGGCTAACCAGCAAGCCCCAGGGATCTGCTTGTCTCCTCGTCCCTGGTTCTGGGATTACAAGTACATGCCACGACAGCCAGAATATTTTTTAATGTGGGTTCTGGGGATCAAACTGAGGTCCTCATTCTTGGGCTGCCTTCCCAGCTGGCATTCACTTCCCATGAACTGTCTGTTACTGTGTCTACAATTAGTTAAAGCCCCCAACTGTCTTACTCTAATAGGTTTTTCAGTATCAGTTTTCTCTCACTTACCATACATAAGTGTGATTTATGAAGCCATTTCAGCATCTTTCAATGTACTTCTGATAAAAAAAAAAATTCTTGAAGAAAGGGTTGGGTTGGGCTGGATGGAGTTGGGCTTGGAGAGCGAAGTTGTTGCTGTTACCAGGTTGTATCAACAGACCTGGAAATATTTTTTGTAGTTCCTAAAGATAAATGACATCATAGCAAAGAAGTCCAATGCTCTGAATCTCAGCAGAGTGCACGATGGCCTTGTAATATCAGAAAGCTACTTGGCAGCACTCATTTGCTGAGACCTGTTCTGTCAGCGGTTCACTGGGTGTAGGATAGACAGCGAGCACTGACGAGAGAGGCATGCAAAGCAGGGGCCTGGCTGTGTCCTTCACAGCCTCACTCAGCGAGGACTTCCTCGGCCTGATGGCTGTTTGGTCCACCGTACAGACACAGTGCAGGATCCCATGTGAGAATCTGAGTCTTCTGACACCTAGATACGAATCTCCCAGACTTGTACACAAAAGAACTTGTGGCTGTTTGTGTGTTCAGATAACAGCTAATCTGGAAGAAGCTCACCGCTGGTTTAAATGCAGGTTCGATGGCCTGCAACTTGAGCTGACCAAAAACCGGTTGCAGAGGCTTCCCCGGGAAGAGAGGTGGATGGAAGAGGTGAGGCCAGCAGGGTGGCTGTGAGGAAGTTTGAATCCCGCCCCCTCCCTTTCTAACTACAGAAGCCCTGTAACCATCTGGCTGCTCTCAACTCCACTCCTGCTAGAAACCTGTGGATTCCGTTTTTTTCATACAAGTTTCACCCTTCCCAAATTATCTCGATCAAAACTACCTATCTGAACATAGACGTGGCATTAGGGAGGGCGAGAGGCTCTGTTGGTTCTCAGCGGGCAAGAGTTGGGTGTTACTGTTTCATCCACAGAATCAAGGCATGAAACGTGATATTGCATCCAGCCAGTCTGTTCTGCATCGATGGGAAACTAAACAGAACCTTGGGGTTGTGCCTAAGAAGTACCATTCTGACACAGAGAAGAAGAACAGCCCCTGACAGCAATGTCTCATGAGAAGACAAGCCTCCATGACTGCTAGCCGCAGAGGTGCTGGCCTGTTTCTACACCGTAAGACCATGACGTGTGCCGAAGATTTTGGACTTTATCCTTCATGAACTCTTTAATATTACTGTCCCATCTTTTTTGTCCCTTTCCCTATTTTCCACTCAATAAATTTGAATTAGTTTGTTTTATGGTAGTAGATGTTGTCATGTGATATTTGCTGTTTGCCGAAAGAATAAATGAAATGGCCACAATGAGATGTCCTGGACTCATTCTGTAGGATACTCTCTGGAAATAAAACTATTTGTAAAAATAGTAGACACTCTTCTATACCCTCTAAACACACACACACACACACACACACACTTCTGGGATGGGTGAACACAGAAGTCTTTTTAATAGGACTTATAAATAGCACATGTCAAAGACCATATTTCCAGCCTCTTTGGTCATTAGGGGTTGTTCGCTGAACACAGGTGTCAGTGCTGCTCTGCTCCAGGAACCGCACTGACAAGTATAGCTCCTCCTCACACTAGTCAGTAGCAACTTGAGTTTTATATTTGTTATTTCAGATATTAAATGGTGGGTTATGAAATCTAGACTTAACATCTCGACTGGCATAATAGCTGGCTTAATTCCCAAGTAATGGCATCTTAAGTTGGTATTACCAAGGCCTAAGAGAACAGTTACGTAAGTGGGCAATTACAATAATGCAAAGATTTGCCAGGGCTGGGGAGTCCAACACTTAATTTCTGATGTAAAATGGCAAACTGAATTTACTGCTTGCTATATTTGAAAGGAAACCATACAGTTTAGGCCTCATCCTGAGCACACTGCTGACCTTTTATGGTGTTGAGAGGACATGGAATTCAAAGAGGCACCACGGGTTGATGTATGCATTAGAGTTACTTGGGTGAGACTGGTCACTGATTGACATTCAGATGCACTATTTTGCTGGCGTTCAGAAGTAAGAAACTGCCGTTGCTTGCTGAGCTTACCAAGCACATGCAGCAAAGAAAGCTGCAGCTGGTCCAATGGACAGGCTTAAAAAGGCCTCTGAGAACTGTGTTCCTGTGGCCATGGACCAACCCGTTCTTAGAAGGGTGGTTTTTATTCTCTTGTACCCTTGTATTTGTTTCATGCCACGGACCAACCCAGTTGGGTCCCACAACCGCAGGAGAATCAGGGTTTGGGATATTCAGGAAGGCATGGTTTCGGCGGTGACAGAGACAACACCTAGTAAGGCTTTGAATCTGCTGCAATTTTACTGAAGTCAAGCTAATAATTTTATAGTAATTACATAAGGAAACACCTTAAAGTTGGCATACTTCCTGAAACATATAGACTTTTACCAAGAATACAAAGTTTACATTTTAACATAGGGCAGTGCCCACAAGAAATCTTGGCCTGAGAACTTTTGATCAAAGCAGACAAAAGACAAAAAACCTTAAACTGCAGTTTCATTATTGCTAACTAGTGAAGAGGAAAGTCAGGGGCTGTAATAGTCCTCTGAGCCAGGTCAGATACCTGCCAAAATCTTTCTCTGCATCAAAGTTTAAATACACTTTTGTTAACCATCCTCCCATATGTCTTGCTAAAGATTTACAATCCTCCTTAGAGATAAGACGCCAAGGGGGACATGCTCGAGCTAGCTGTACTTTCTCGTGCATCTTTTCCTAAAGAGGACCCCACTATTTTTTCGCTATTCTTGTAATGCTTTTTGATAATGAATCTGATTCATTACTTTTCTTAAGATTTTATTTTTCTTCCACTCTATTCTTGCTAAAGCTTTTAATAATCTATCAAAGATATGTTTCCTTGAATAGTTAATTGTGCTGTTCCAAGAATCATAGGGAAAGAACAAAAGGCTCATTAAACCAACCCCGCAACCAAAAAGGCGTAGGAATCTTGGAGTGTGTCTTTTTGGCTGAGGTGGCCAGGGGGGAACTCTTTTGCCAGGGCCCTCCAGGGAGCTTATTCCCGAGGGAAGCGTATCTCCCGTCTAGCAGCACGACCATTTGTCATGTTCACACAGACGACACTGGAGTTGGTGTGGCAGTTTCATATTAGACCAGTATATTCACATTTAAAACTGAGCAGAATACAGCAAAAACTCTCTTCCTTTCCTGCTTAGGAGGAGAAATTAAATAACTTTTATTGCTCATAACTATCTTTGTGTTATATTTTGCATATGTTGAAATGTAATACACAGTGTGGTAGTATTTAAGGACTGGGGCCTTTGAGGGTGTAGATTCTATCAGGAGAGCCTTTCTGAATGGATGCATGCCTTTAAAGAGCACTGGGGTTAACCGCCTTCTGCCCTTCTCACCTTTTGTCTGTTTTCATGTGAAGACAAGCACTTACTGCTTCCAGAGGACAGCAGCAGAAAGGTGCCACCTGGACGTGGAAAGCGGAATCTCCTCACACACCAGCCCTGTCAGCAACTCCATCCTAGACTCCCAGGCCTCCAGACCTGTGAATTATTTCTGTTCTTTATAAATGTCCTATCCTCAGTTATCTTGTTTTAAGAAGCAAACCCAAAGAAGACATTTGGTTAAGAAATTTAAACTTGTGGTGTCTTTGAGTTTTGGACACTATTGTTATTGGATGCTATTGCTATCCATAGAAGTCTTTCCTCAGAAAGATATTTGTGCCTTAGGGCTGTGTGTATTATGTGTTTGTGATAAATATGTATTATATCAAATATATCATTTGTCATTCATATAATAAATGATCAATTACTTATCAAATATATATATCACATATATATTTGTCAAATAGACACATGTCATAAACAGCTATTTGTATATTAAGACAAACTCTACCTCACTAAAAGTTTGGCTAATTTTTCAGATACCTCTAAACCATTGTTCTGAAGGGATGTCTATTCTACAGGAGTAAATTGGACTAATACCAGTAAATACAGTTAGGTTGCGCTTGGGAGTCTAGAGCAGGACAGGGAGCTAATAGCTCATGGCAAATAGAATCTTCTTGTGTCCATTGGCATTTCAGGATCGCAGAGCTTAGGCGGGCGTTGATGGCCTCCTTCTGTTCACAGCGCAGACCTTACTCCATTCTCAGCACCTCTGAGTTTCTTTACCTGTAGGCTTCCCAGCTGACGACTCCTGTCTAGCCCTTACCTCACACTGGCCATAGGTTACACTGATTTCTCGTTTACTTAGGGTCTGATAGAGTCTTCACACCAGAAGCCCCTACAGTGGATTTCTTAGAAAATACTCCCAAAGAATAAGCGGGAATTCATGTACAAAGAAAACTACAGTCAATATTAATCATGCAAAAATAATAATAATAATAATAATAATAATAATAATAATAGAGTGTAGCTCATATACCGTGACTGAGGCTTCAGTTTTGATCTCCAGTACCACAAAACAACAACAACAACAAAAATTATGTGATTACTACAGGTGCTTAAAAAGTCTTTAATAAAATTAGTTTTTAGACAATAACACTCACTAAAGATAAAAATAAGAAAATAGCGCCGGCTCAGTGGGTAACAGAGTCCTGGCAGGCCTGACGGTCTGAGTTTGATCCCCGGCTTCGGCTGGGTAGAAAGAACCAGCTGAGAGCCGACTCCCTCAGGTTGACGTCAGAGTTGTGCGTGTACTATGACACGCATGCACACACAAAAGAAAAAAAAAATACAAGCAAAGTGGAATTGGGAGCTTTGAAAAACATGGCCAAGTGTATACAGACACTTATCAAGCGACTTAATTTTCAAAATATAAACAGCTATTGCTGACACCTCGGAGAGGACAGCTCAGGCTCCATCACAACACACGCCGCAATTATGAAGGTCAGTTGAGAGCACACGAAGGGGGAAAAAGCAACAGCACTTGAATAAGGTAGGATGACACACCCGGAAAACTCGAGTGACCATACAACGTAAACAGTAAGCGATAAGCAAGCCACAAGAGTACCGAGTGACCGTACAAACGGACAGGCTTGCGGGTGCCAGTGCTGGGCGTCACACAAACGGGAAGTGGCGGTTTTTGTAAGTGATCACGCAATGCCAAGCGAGGGTAAGGAGAAAGCCAGCTTTGGGAAGTGCCGCCCCGGGGTGGGGGTCGGCCTCGGCCGGAAAGCTGCCCGGGGTGGTGGTCTCCGAGGGTGCTGTGCTTTGGGGCTCCCGAGTGAAAATCGGCATGCGAGGGCGGGGGAGGAACAGGAGTCAAAGCGGCCACTCTGCCTCTGTCGCCCTCTCAGTGCCGCGCGGCTGCTCCAGGTCAGCCCAGCGTGGAGAGCACGCGGAGACGGACTCCGGGAGGCATGACCGCAGCAGGACCCGGAGCTTCGAAAGTGAAGATGGCGAAGGTTTATTATGAGACACTTACAAGGAGCGCATTAACTGCTTGTGCAGTGGTTTCATTTAACCCGCTGTCAAACGAGAGCGACGCGCGATGGAGTTTAGATAAGCCTTATTCCACGCGGGGCTGAGCAGCGGGAACCTAAGACACCCTGCGCCCTCCCAGCCCCACCCCTAAACCCAGCTTTCTGCTTAGTGATTCCCGTGTGGGCTACCTCCCCTCCAGAGTTCCGCACACCGTTGCCTACGCTCTTTATCTGGGCTGCTGCTCTCCGACGCGGCCTCGGAGGAGGTTCCTCCCGGCCCCGTGGTCCTCTCCGCGCTGACCCATCTCCACGTCCCGCTTCTCTCCTTCCCACCATCCTCCTCTCCTCCAAGCTCACAAACCTTCGCTCCGCCCCTCACTTCTGCCCTGCCCAAAAGTGTAGGCCTTTTATTTAGCCAATCGGGGATGATTCTGGAGGCACGGTTACACAGCAACATTTGGGGTACACGATAGTGTGCTTTGTAAAACAGAATCCTGGGGGACAAGCAATCCACGTCTGAATACGTGGTGGCTCTAGACCAGCCCCACAGACTGACACACGTCAGAGAACATAAATACAAGCATCGGCAACCTGCAGGGCCGCTAGTGATGATAGGATGTCCTCTTTCTTGGTGGAGATGGCAATATGTGTGCGTGTGTGAGCGTGTGTGTGTGTGTGTGTGTGTGTGTGTGTGTGTGTGTGTGTG